GGTCGATCTCCGAAGGTCGTGTCGCCAGATTCGAAGCGTTTCAACCATCGAGACACCGTGGAATACTGGACGACGTTGCCCTTGAACGCAGCGCAGATGTTGTCCGCGGCGGCTATCGCAGAGTGTCCTTGGAGGAACTCGTAGTAGACGATGGGGTGAAGAGTTGCTTGTTCGATCAGAGTCATGGCTGCCAAATAATGGCAGAAACCGCCTTATATACCCCGAGGGCAGAAGCTTCGAGAACATTCCAGCATATAGAAATGCAAAGCCCCGCCCATCATTCCTTGGAAAATTTTTATAAATAGTTTTAGAAAGTGTTGCAAAACTTTCTTTCCAACCCAATAGAATTGGCATCTGTACATCTCGGAACTTTCGGAACACTCCTCGTACACCGCAGTCGGAATACTATGAAGGCTTTAAGAGGGTTAAGTGGCTGATGAGGATGCCGCTGTGTAGATGATGAGATGACGAGAGGCTGCACGTTCACGGGATATGAAAGTGCGGAGTTCATTGCTTTTGCAAATTCGAAAATAAATAAATCAGGGCCAAAACGTACGTATCTCACTCCTTGTCGTGGAATCATATTTTAAGTATGCTCTAAAGCTCATTTTGACTTTGCAGATGCTTCTAGAAAGCGTTACAAAGAAGTACAGCGTCATTTAATAGAGGGTTAATTTAAAATATATGGCAATAAATATGGCAAAATAAAATTTTGGTCTAAGTCACATATTCTTATACGGAAAGAAGCGCTGAACATTGGAATTACTCAGTGAGAACCAAGCTGGCTCGAGTGGACACAATGTTCTGATCCGTTCTATTTGTCTAGTGACGAGCACAACTTGTGGCATTTCGAGTGACAGCGGAAGAAGACAGACTTGGCTCGACCAATTGTGGACAGGATTCTCTGGACTATTGTGGGGAAATCAGGATGAGGTGGAGAGGCAAGAAGCCCGTGTCGTCGGTGGATCCGAGATCCCCATTGCGGAGGCCCCCTTCATGGTCTACGTGGAATCTGAAATTATTAATAACAAGTTCAATTGCAGTGGCGTGATCATCAGCAATCAGTACATTCTCACGGCCGCCAGATGCGTAAGAATAATGTAAGCATAATCATTTTGACTTCTGCCTCTGGGATATTTATGTTGTGCATGCATATGGTAAACAGCCTGAAATAATAAAAAGACCTGCTTAATATCGTTGACACGACACAGTGGTGCCATTGAGTGTGTATAGAACTCTATTATTCTCAATACTGATTACAGCACCTGGCCTGAACAGCTGCAATTTGTTTAAGCTAAATTTTGTTTCACATGCATGCAACATTAGCATAGACTTTCACTATGTTCCCTATATTCACTATGTGAATATCCTTTTACATAATGCACAAGGTAATTCACTTTTTCTTTAAGCATAACTTCTGATGTATGAGTGACAAGACCGAAAACCGAATTTGTTGGAAAAAATCCTATTTCCACACAAATAATCAGGCCTGGTGGGTTTACAACTTAAGATGATATCGATATCGTCCTCAAGAGATTAACTCAAGACAATCCCTTCCCCCCCCCCCCCCCCCGCTATTAAGTGATACAACTTTTGCGGGTCTAGTATTAAATTCTTTAGGCTTTTCTGTTCATAAACCTTTTCTCATTTCTTTTCTCAACTATAGCTATACATACGGCTACAACACCACTGTGATCCTCAATGCTACTCTCGTGACAGTTTGGGTGGGGAGTGCGACCAACAAGGGAGGCACCTCCATCGTTGCGGATTCTTGGAAAACCAATACTAAATTCGAAACAGGTGAGAGCTTCCTAATGTTGCCACCACCTAGAATCCTCTAAGTCCACTAAGTCCCTAAGTGAAAAGTTTCTCCGGTTTTCTTGGCGATTCTCCTTTCAGTGACGAATTGGGAACCCATAGCCTTGATCCACTTGCCCACACCTCTGACCTTCAGTGAGAGCATCCAGCCGATCTGCTATCCAACGACTGACGATCTACATGCTGTATCCGGATGCAGCAAGAATGAGTACGGCTGGGGAGCCACCGACTGGACCGGTAATGTCTTCAGTCCCAAATTGAAGAAGCTGTCCGATATCACCATCCAAACCGAGAACACTTGTCGAGTCACCGACGACATGAGATTCTTTTGCGTCACAGCGAATGCCAACAACACGGGAGCCTGCTTCCACGTACGTGTCACTCCTTGCCCTTCTCAAAATATTAGAGCGCATTTGCGATCGGGTTTGAGCAGGGGTTCTCAACCGGAGATCCATGGGCAAGGCTCCAGGAGTACTCGAAACCTTGTCCAGTGAATAATAAATAAATAACGAACAAAAAGAAATATTAATATTTAAGAGATACGCGTCTTCTGAGAAAGTTTTGAGGGATTGGGAGGAATTAAAACCTACAAAAGTTCATCCATACTGGAGTTCATACCTACCTGATGCTAAAGTCTCTATGTAACCTTAAATCTATAAAAGCAAAAAAAAAGCGAAATATCCACGACATTCCCTGAAGGGAATGTCGTGGGGCTGAAATTGCGTTTTTCTTGAAGGACTAAATGCCAGAATAGTAGATCAATTATGGCTTGAAAGCTTTACCTTCGCATGTTGCCAAGCGTTTACGATAAGAAAAATCTCTTCCTCGTGTGGAGCAACAGCTAAGGATCAGAAGCAGTTTCAGGCTTGTTAGTTCGGACTTTACTGATACTGATCAACGAACCCGGGAATCTGTCACTGTGTGAAACAATCAGGTCTCGGCAGGGTTGTGTACAGACCATAGGAAGTGGACAGCCACTGCCACGCGTCACTTGGGGAGCAACTGTACTTCCCCTTGATTAGCTCCGTCAGCGATCGCAAATAATTCAAAATCTGTTACGATATGCGAAGTCGGGGATAGGGTGGGAGGCTTTATGTAGAGTTTTATTATCTGGTCATTAGCAGCAAGAGTACGGGATTTTCATTTCATGCTCAAAGCAAAAATTAAAATCATTCGCTGAAGCTCTTCAGCACTACACGTCTGGCGATTTTTCCACGTTCAACAGTCTTCGAAAAATTGCGAGTTTCAGTCAGAAGGCGAGGATGGTTGTCAAACGAGAAATAAATTAGTTGGAAGGAAGATTGAAAGGCAGTGAAATTGGAAGATGTAGACGACTGATCCTGAGTCGTTTTGTCCACAGAGAGAACTCCTCAATTCTTCCAAGACCCGAAGGGTTTGCATTTGCCTTCTAATCGGGAGCGTTTCCCTCCACGCCGCTCTTCCCGTTTGACTGGGTATGGCAACAGAGACCCCCAGCTTTTTAACCTATGCATATTTGTTCTGACTAGAATTTTTTTCCGGATGAAACTTGCACACGACATGTTCTCAACAGCCTGCGAAACGTCAAAATCAGTTTCGTCAAAGTGAGGCTCAGTGATTTTATTTTCAAGAAATTTAAAATTCTACATGGACTGGGGACTCCAATCCCATCGGAGTGACCTGTCTACCTACTTCTTTAGAGTAAAAACGAGTAGAAAATACAAAGAGACTTGTGACAACTCTCTGTATTGATATAAGTGGATTAATCAGTTATTTGTTGAAAATTACGCCAAGCAAAATCATCTACAATTAAAGGTCCGCCCCAATAAAGAAAATTGAATAAAAGAGGTGCTTTACATGGAATCCTTACCATGAAATTCCTTTTGTATAATAACTCATAGCCTCATCTCTTATCTGGATGGATTTGAATCAAGTTTCATGAGTTGCTTGAGAACCCGACAGTCACTGTGTACGTTTCATCACAACATCTGCTGAACAAGCCGAGTAAAACCGGGGAGTCTTTTTTGCCAAGCCCTATATATTCCTTTCATTCGTCCGCATGAGACGGCTTCGACCATGCTCTGCGAATCGTTTTGAAAGGGGAGATCATCCAGTCAGGGTAATCTAGTCAGGATTACAAGGATCAGACTCAAGAGGCAGCCTGAATGACGGAGAAGCATGGCATTGCTACTCAGCATTATTTCCGAAAAATGTCAGTATGATTTAATGTTAATTTATTTTATTATTAGGTTACCAATTGAATTATTTAATGTTAATTCCTTGATGTTATTTAATCGTATAATCGTTATGTTTTTCCATAGAGAATATCGCAAAAAGTATCCGTCAGTTCTATTTCCATCAGCATCATACTCTTTGATTGTGCTGGATTTAAATTTTCCTTCATCATTGAATGGGATTGCAGGGAGACTTTGGTGGACCCTTTGTGGTGCGGTATGGTGGTCGAGCCTTTGTGATTGGGGTCTTCTCAGGCTCCGTAGATTTGTACTGTGGATCGGGTGGACCCGCCATCTACATGAGAGCCTCCAACTTTGCTGATTGGGTCAAGTCTGTCGTCAAGCCGTGAAATTGTGCATTCGGAAATCGCAGATTACACGTTCGCATCCATATCACCACGCGCACCAACGCAGGACTGTACACTTTGCACACACGCTCACCCGCACGTCAATGCATCCATGCGTGCATACCCCACATGTCAATGCACACAAACACACTTGCACATCCTCACTTAAATGCACGACACCCTCATCCACTCTCTAATGAACACATCCAAACCCATTCACCCCTGCACGCCCATACACATGCACTGACGTAAGCCATGATGCGATGCCATTTGTTCGATTCCTGCCAGCTGCATCAATATTCCGTCATTTGTCATTTTATAGCTATATAGATATAAATCTCGTGCTTTTATTGGGATGAATTGCAGATTTTCAGGCTTGGAGAAACAAAAGTTGTATTTTCCAAGATATGGAAACTTATGTCTGGGAATTATGCAAACGCTACTTTTCAAATTACGGGTTGATTCCATTTATATGTCCATTTACATTCCACACGACGGAACCACATTGTTAACGTCTCCTTCCTTCTTGCTAAAATGGAATAAAGGAAGTGTGCTATCGCTGGCTCGACTGTTTCAGCTTCAGGGCTTGCATTGCTGACCGTCATAAGAGTTTTATGGAAAGTAATGCATGCAATAGGGGTAACGATAAGGGAAAAAAAAACAACATACCAACCATAGGATCGAAAAATTAGCCAATAAGCACAAAGAATATTGCAAGTACGCGTTAGGTCAGGGCCGGATTAAGAAGTTGCGAGGCCCGGGGCAAGTGGATTCTTGTGCGCCAGTGCCCTAGATCAGTGGTTCTCAACCTTTTTGGTTCCACGGACCACCTTACCAACTACAAATTGATCCGAGGCCCACTCCAGGCTAATGGCAATATAATTTATTTTGGCTTACTTTAGTGAGAACGTTGGGCTTGCACATCGCTCACTAACTTGTCAAATCTTGGCTGAATGTTTGATATGGCCACACGTAGGTTTGTTATTACGTCATGTCGATTTCTGGCTTTCGTCTTCATACTCGTCATGATGGAAAAGGCTGACTCACAGAGATACGTTGACGGAAAGGGCAAAAGTCGCTTAATAGCTTTCTCACTCAATTTTGGATATTCCTTGCTCATCTTCGACCAAAACGTGGGTAGTGTTAGATTGGAAAGTTCTTCTTTCAGGGCTCGATCGCTTGTGAGTTCAATGAGATTGTCCTCCTCCAGTGCAGACAGTTTATTCTCTGGGTTTCCACAGTGGGTGAATGGATCGAGTACCCACATGTAGCCTGTCCGTGGATCGTCTTCAGGAGGAAAGTAATCTTCGAATTTCCGAAGAAGCCTTTCCAAGTGTTCTGAAATGATCTTTACGACATGCTTCTTCTTGAATTTTGTGTTGGTTGAAAAGTCAGAGAAACATGTGAACATATCAAAAGTGTTCGCGTTGACTCTCTGCTGCCAT